TTGTGGGCATTTTGGATGATTTCCTTAAGATCTGGCCCATAAACAGAAACTGGGTGGAAGGGTATGAACATTTCTAAGGTTAGTGAGACAAATTGCCAAATTGTCCTTCAGGAAAGTTGTACTTTAATTTACGTTCCCGTCAGGGGTGAGTGAGAGTGACTGTTTACCTGCACCTTTTCCAATATTTACCCAAACTGGTTTTTATTTTATTTTATTTTTTAAAAGATTTTATTTATTTACTTCTAGAGAGAGGGGAAGGGAAGAGAAAGAGAGGGAGGGAAACATCAGTGTGTGGTTGCCTCTTGCACACGCCCCACTGGGGACCTGGCCCGCAACCCAGGCATGTGCCCTGACTGGGAATCAAACCTGTGACCCTTTGGTTCACTGGCTCATGCCCAATCAGTCCACTGAAGCACACAAGCCAGGGCCCAAACTGATTTTTAATTTGCATTTATATCATTACTAGTGAGGTAGAATATGTTGTCTTGCATTAATGGTAATATATATTCCTCCTTTTAAAGTTATTTATCATGCTGTCTGTCTAGTTTTTTTCTGTTGGGGTGTTGAAATCCTTTTTTATATTGATTTATAAGAACTCTTTATATGTTAAACACGTTCACCGTTTTCTGTCATCTTCCAGCTGGTCACGACAGTTTGTTTGTGGTATCTTTCTGTGCACAGGAAGTTCTCCTCTGGCTCTTCTGGTTACATTCCATAAAAAACAAACAACCCACTTAAGCCAGTTCTGGTGAATAAGGTTTAGTTTAAGGACACGTGTGCAGAGGTAGGGGGATTCTGCAAAAACCTAAGAACAGGAGCTATAATAGGGCTGGGCCTGCCGGGCCTCCAGCTGGGAGGCAGTTCAGGGTCAAGGTGGTCCCAGGCGTGTCAGGCCCTGGGGTGAGTGCACCTCCACTGCAGCCCCCCTCCGCCGTGCACCAGCCACGTGACTCCTCAGGTCCCCCACACGCCTGCTCCCTCCCCTCCCGCTGTCAGCAGGCTCTTCTGTGCCCTCAGCCTTGGTGGTCTCCCTCCCACCCTGGTTAGTCCACTGGGGTCTTTCTTGCCTCCCGTACATCATGACTTTGCGGTTTTAGCCCCTTCTTTTCACTTTCTTTTTTTGGTTCAGATTTTCAAGAGAGAGAAAGAGGGAATTTGACTGGTCCGGCTCCACCTGTCTCGGAGGGGTGGAGGGGGCGGACCTGTGTGGGGCTCTGCCTTCTTCCAGTGCAGCTGGCGTGGAGCACAGCTGCCGGGCCCTGGGGTTCGGGGGGGTGCTTTTCCCTTAAAAGGGAACACAGACATACTGTGTTTTGCCATGTATGATGCGCACCCACGTTTTTGGCCCAAACTTTCAGGGAAAAAAATCTTTTAATTTTTAAATTCAATTATTTATTTATTAACATTTAGAAACGAAACTGATCCTTGTATTCCAGGGTATCATTTTGTACACGGATATCGTTATTGCTTTCTAGAGTTACGCTTTCAGTGCGGAAGCATAAATACAAGGATTAAAAATATGTAGACACATGTATAATGCACACCTTATTTTTCCCTCAGAAATTTGGGCAAAAAAAAATGTGTATTACACATGGCAAATACGGTAATAGGCAACAGTACAAACTTTTAATAATAAGAAATTTAACATTTAAAAAGTGGTAAAACCTTTTAATCTTTTGCTTTATGCCTCTTTCTTTGGCCTTTATCCTTAGAGCGTCGTGCCTTATTCTGAGACCTGGTGTTCATCCGCCTGTGTTATTTTAAAAATCACTTGGTGACTTTACGTTCCATTTAAGTGTTCCTTATTTCTAAGCATCAGGCACATGGTCCTAGTTACAGGCTCCGGATGGGAGATGGTTTCAAGGTGACAGATAATGTCCACCTGTCCAATGAGATAGTCCAAGTTCACCACCTTGAGGCATTTTTGCTCATCTAAAAATCATAACTTTTTTTTAATTATGGAATAATTCATATTGGCAAAAACGAATTAAGTCATATAACATAAAGTGTGCAAGTCCCTGAGCCCAAAAGCTCCTACAGTGTGTGATATACATTAGTTTGCTGTATTTTCCCCAAACATAGAGTGTATAGTGTAGTTTGATTTATAATTGTGTAAAAATGTACTTCAAGCAAAAATGGGGATAATAGTGTTTTTCAACTTCCTAGTTTTGATTATTCGTGTAAGCCCACCCTGTTCTCCCTAATGGTGGTCTCTACCTGCGGCTGTGGAGCAACCCACTTCATTGGTTTTCACTGACGGCCGTTCAGGCCGCTTTCCTGGTACGAATTTTGCAGGCCAGCAATTGTTCCTTAACTTGCTTACCACGGGAAATGGCCCTGACGCAGCCCTTTGTGTGACTCTGCTTTTGTGAGGAGGAGAAAGACTTTTTGTTTCCAAATCCCACGTGAACAGAGTCTCAGCTTTGCCATTGTTGATGGCCTGTGTCCTGTAGGAGGGCCCTGGTCCCTGTGCTGCTGGGGGACCCCTGGGGAGGCCTGCTGGTCCCCACCGTTCCTGGGGCAAGAGCCACTGTGAGAAGTCGCAAGTCCCGATTCCTGGGGACTGGGGGCAAGCTGAGTGAGGGAGGCGTCACCAAGGGGTCGAAAGCATTTTTGCAAAGGGCCAGATGCTGAAGGCTTTCGGCCTTGCTGGCCACAGGGCCTCTACGGCAGTGACTCGACTGTCTGGGCAGACGGCAGCCGGGGACAAAAATGTGGGTGTCTCGTGTGGCCGCATGTGGCCCTGTGCCAGTAACGCCTGATGGACACTGAGGCTGGAATTTCACCTGCAACCGGACATTATTCTTCTGACTTTTCCTCCAACCATGGACGGAGTGTCGGAACCATTCCTGGCTCTGATACGAAACTAAGTGAGAGCCACGAACTGGCCTGTGGGTTACGGTGCTTGTGCTCGTAATTTTACAAAAGGATGGCCCGAGTTCTCAGTATTGGTTCCGCTGAGGTGGCTTGTGGGAGTATCTCATTAAGGCATTGTTCCCCTAGTCAGGTTTTAGTGGCAGAGAGTGAAGTACGCCCTTGGTTCGTGGCCCCTTCCCGCACTGCAAGGCCCCCCCCGTCTTACGTTTATTTTCCCCTTTGGTTCCCTTATATCATCGCCCTTCACACCATCCTCCCGATGGCCGGCACTGGAGTGTGTTTCATGGGCAGAGCTCCAGTCTGTGTGATTCTCTTCTGGTTGTTGTTGCTTTTTTAAATTTATTTTTTCAGGGATGGTTCTAAGACGTGCGTGAGCGGGTTCGGGGTGGACATCTTTAATTCATGCGAGCCTATCGCGTTGCAGCGCTCATTCTCGCGTTTCCACTCAGCCCTGCGTCCGCAGCTCCTCTGTGGTCAGCGGGCTGTCGCTTCTAACCCACAGAGTCCGGGCGGCATGTGCACGAGCCCCCGCGCTCTCTGGACTGCGCCGTAGTGTTCTGCAGCGATGGGCTCTTCGCTCATGGAAGAGACTTACGGTGGCTTGGACCAGAGAGGCTCTCACGCCCGGTTCTGGCCCAGGTCGCAATGTCCCCATGCCCAGCACTTAGCACACTGTCTGTGAGTGGCACCTCAATAATGTTGAATGAAAGTGACCTTGAACCTCTCCAGCGCTGCCCCATGCTTCCCTGCAGGGTGGGGCTGGGATGGGATTTCCTCGCCTTCCCCGCCAGGCCCTCGCTCTCACCCACTTCATGGTGATGCAGTCAGAAGTAGGTATTGGTCTTTGTCCCCAGTTCCTGGCACAGAGCCCCTAAAACCCTTGTCAATTCCTAAGTGATTGGGTGAGAGTAGGGATTTGGCTCGTTTGCCCTAATAAGCCCTTTTCAGCTGCACCCGAGTGCATGCGAATTGCCTCGGCCCGCGAGGCAGTCAACGGGGTCCGCCGATATACCTGTAACAGATGAAGAGGGATGGGACAGGAGGCGCGAAGAATGGCAGCAAGACAAAGGATTCTGATCAAGCTGCAAATTTTATTTCAAAATGGAGGGAGTTATATAGAGGAGGGTAGTAGAGGAAACGCAGTGGATAGGGGGCTTCAAGGCGTGCTCTAGCCCACGATTGGGCGGGGGGCGCATGGTGGGCCCATGATCAAGGCACTGATTGGTGTGCTACCTGCATGTCCAGGAGGGGAGGTTTTTATGGCTCCTGACTGCAACATCCTGCCATTCAAGGCGTATCTCTCAGGTCTGATTGTATCAGCCTGTTTCAGGCTTATCCCAGCCCCCAACAGCGAATGAGGCCATTCAGGGCTTGCTGGGAGCCAGAGGTGCCAGCCCTGTGTTTGGAGGCCTGGAGGTTGTGCCCACTGCTAACGCCGATGATTTAATCGACCGTGTGTGTGCGTGTTGTGGCCTCTGTGAAATCCGTGATCTAAGGCACTGGTGAACGCTTGGAGGTGCTGGGAGGGGCCTGGAGCCCCGTGTCCCTTCCCACACGCCGTGTCCCCGCGTCCCTTCCACCGGCTGTTCCCGAGTTGTACCCTTTTGTTACAAACTGGTGATCCAGTGAGTGACTCTTCTCGAGAGTTCTGTGAGCCACCCCAGGAAGTTGCTGACCCCAAGGAGGGGCTGTGGGAACTCCCAGCTGACAGCTGGTTGATCAGAAGCACAGGTGGCCACGTGGATCTGGGGTGAGCACCTGCACTGCTGTGGCGGTCTCGTGGGGCTGAGCCTTCCACCTGCGGGGTCTGCGTTAACTCTGGGTGGTTCATGTTCACCGAATCGCTCGGTGTGGAAAGCCCACCTGCGTTGGTGTGTTGGTGTGGGTACGGTAGGGAGGAGGAGGAGATTTCCTGCACCCCCCCCCACACCCTTATGGTCTGGACGGGCAGCCAAGAGGACGTTACTGCCGACACCATCTCCCTGGCAGGCCCCGGGCCAGGTCGGGGGGTGTCTGTGGGACATGCCTCCGTTTTGACAGCTTCTAGCAGGACCCCAGCCTTCGCCCGGGGTTCCAAGGTCTCGCTCGCATGGCCTCTGACAGCCCTGTTTCTGGTTTTGCAGCCTGAGCCCAACCCTGGAGACCTGATTGAGATTTTCCGCCCCCTCTACAGACACTGGGCCATCTACGTCGGCGATGGGTTCGTGGTGCACCTGGCCCCTCCGAGTAAGGATTCGGGGCCTCCGCGGTGCGGGGCGGGCCGGCGGGGGGCGCTGTGGGCACGGGGGACCCTACTGCTCTCTTTGCTGCCTCTCTGGCAGTTGGTTCCCAAGATCTGTGAAAAGGTGGGTTGGTGTGGGGCCATGGTTTTCAGACTGTGCTCCTTGGAACCCTGGGCTTATGTAGACGGGCTGAGGGGGGCTCCCGAGTGGGCAGCTCGGCCCTTCTGGGGTTATGTACCGTGGCTTTCACTAAAACGCGTTTGACATTTAAGTGTAAAATTCCCTGAGAGAGCACGGGTTTGGGGCAGCAGACTTGGCCATGAACCCAGTTTCTGTTCCCCAGCCTTGGTTTCTTTATCTGTAAATGAGGCTAAGAACATGGAACTTGGAGAAGCGTGAGAACTCCCCACCCCTTTTCTTAAACATTTCACTTAAATGGAAGTGTAACATAATATGTAAGTGCACACACATAGTAAGATGTGTGGCCTGTGAGTTCTAAGAAACTGTATCCATCCGTGTGACAGTGACCCCGTGAGGATGTGGGACATTCCCACTCCTGGATGCCACCCTCTCGAGAGGCAGCTGCTGTTCCAGCTCCTTTTGCTGTAGATCAGTCCTGCCTGTTCCGGAACGTCTCGGAAGAGCAATGGCTCCTCCCACGAGCCCTGGGAGAGGGGTCGTGTTGTCAGGAGCGGCAGTTCTGACGTTTTCATCGCTGTGTAGTTTCCGCTACGTGACCCCACTGTGGTTGGTTGCCTGTTCTGCTGCTGATGCGCGTTGGGTCGGTCAGCCCTGTGTGCAGCTGCCAGGGGACCTTCATGGACGTGCGTTTTGCCCTGTGTTACGGAGAAACCGGGAGTCACCAGAGAAGGGGTCATCTTCCCCACCCCTGATCAACCCAGCCACCAACACCTGCCCCCACAGAACCCGCCTTTCCTGTCGAAATGCAGCGAGTGTCCCGGCCCTTGTTTAAAAAGCCAGCCGCTGCGTGTGGGTCCTGGACCCGCTCCTCTTACTGTCCTAAGCTCTTTGCTCCTCTGGTTTCCCGCCTTCTCTGTGTTTTCCTCCTTCCCCTTCCTTCTAGGCTGTTCCTGTTCCTTCTGGTCTAAGCTCTCCTGTCGATAACACAACACCCCTGGACTTCACCTTCCCTCTCAAACTCTCCGCAGAGCAATCTGTGGACTGTGGCCTTTGCCGCTTCCTCACTTCCCCTTCCCCGGCCACTGCCCCTCCCCCACGCTCTCCTTCCCTCCCCTCCTGGAACCACACTTAGCAATGTCACCAAACAGCCTCCCGCGTCTTGACAAAGGTCAGTATTCTGGCCCCAGCTTACTTGACCTCTGTCCTCTCTTCACCAGTCAGTTGCCTTTCTCCCTCCCCACTGGGCCCTCCCCTCTCGGTCTCTTGTGTGGGCTCCCCCTCACCAGCACCCCAATTCCTTACTATCCCCCGGTGACCCCATCGAGTCCTCTGACTTCCCATACGTCCTATTTGTTGAGGTGTCCTAACCCCACCCCCTCAGTTTAGGTGACCCCAGCCAGCTTCAGACTCATTTATGTGACCCCTTGGCTGCTGGGCGTCTCTGCGTGGGCGTCCACAACATGGTCCAAAGGGAAGGCTCGGGAGGGGGTCCCCATGCAGCTGCACAGACCCCGAGTCTAGCAGGCATCTTTGGTCCTTTTCACTCCATATCTAATCCATTAGGATATCCCGTTGGCTTTATCTCCAGAGCAGACCCCGCATCTGATCACTTGTCACTGCCCCCATGGCTGTGCCCTGGGGTCAGCTGCTGCCCCCTCCTGAGCCTCTGGCTCCTGACGCTCCTGCAGCTTCCGGTCCGTGTGTCTGCCTCTTGCCCATGGTGACCAGCCCCTCCTTCACTGGGCCGCCAGCGTGATTGATTGCTCTAAGCAGGGGTATCCAACCTTTCGGTGTCTCTGAGCCGCACTGGAAGAAGAAGAGTTACCTTGGGCCACACGTTAAACACACAAACACTGTCAAAAACTAATAAGCGAGAAAAAAAAGGTTTTAAGTAAATTTATGATTTTGTGTTGGGCTGCATTCACAGCCATCCTGGGCCACAAGTGGCCTGTGGGCCGCGGGTTGGACACCCCGGTTTATAAATCTGATCACATCACTCTTCCTTACAATTCTTACCCGGCTTTTGTGCCCCATGCAGACTAAGATTCTGAGTCTGCGCTGTGGCCTGTGGGGCCCGGCGTGGTGGGGCCTCTGCCCGCCTCTGTGACCCTCGTGTCCGCTTCTCTCCTCCGGGGCCTCTAGACCTCAGCGGCCTCGGCCTCCCAGCAAACGCCACGCCCTTCCCTTCCGGCGCCTTTGCTCTGGCTTGCCCTTCTGCTTGTGGCTCTCTGCCCGGGATCTCGGCTCGGCCGCCTCCTCCTTGTCCTCAAGTCTCAACTCAAGTGCCGGTTCCTGGGACGGCCCTCCCTGATCTGGGCCAGCAGCCTCCCCAGCCACGCGCCCCGACCGACCGGCAGCACTGTCAGAGCTGAAAGTGCCCTATTGAGTCTGCCCGTCACTTGGTCAGCATCCCTCACTCGACCGTGAGCTGCCCGAGGGCAGGCGGGCTGTCCAGGTCCCACCACTGTCTCCAGCACCCTGGACAAGGCCTGGCTCGGAGCCGGACCTCGGGCTGGGCTTGTGGCTGCTCCGAGTGGGTGACACTGGTGGACGGAGCCAGGGGAAGGCACGGCAGGGATCGGGGGTGGGGGGGCGGGGGGTGCCACTGATCACAGGGTGAGCGATGCCCCTGAAAGGGAAAAGATGCCTCTACCTGTATCTTCTCACTCGACCTTCACAGGAGTCTTGCCAGTAGGTCAGGACGGACCTCAGGCTACTGAGAAAGTGGTAGAAATTAGGTCTGGAGGGAGCTTAGAGAACAGCCCCCAGGATAGTGCTGGCGAACACTCGCTGGCCATGCCCCTGGGGCCAGGCGCTGGTGCAGGCGCCCCCCTGCGTGTTCTGTGCATCTTGCTTGCCCCACCCCGGTCCCAGCCCTGCCACCACCTGCCAGGGGGCAAAGCTGTCCCGGTCCGTCCCCACCCCAAGCCTCTTCCTGCGCTCCTGGCGTACACAGAGTGCCATCTCTTTTACTCACTCCAGGGAACCCCTCAAGCATCTGCTGCCCTGTTGGTAGCAAATCAGGAGCCCCCTGATTTTAAAAAATCTCAGGATTGTGCTCAGGGCAAGGGGGTATCGTCCCTTCTGGGAGCCGAGCTAAGGGGGACGGGGGTCTGAGCAGCCCCTCCTGCCATGGCTGGGGCTGTCAACCGTGTCCCCGTGGGCGACGCCTGCCCAGTGTAACGGTGCCTCCCCTGCTGGGGAGGACTGGGCGTCTGGACCCAGCGGGGCCGCAGTGGCTCTGAGGGAGAGCGAGCCTCCTCTCTGGGTTCCCACCGGCTTCGCAGGCGTCACACTCACTGTGTGCCCTGCCCACACAGGGCGGGTTGGTGGCCTTGGGAAGGGGGCCCAGGCTCTGTGCTGGGATCAGTGCCACCCCCCACCATCCTGGCCGTCAAGCCGACCCCAGACTTCCTTTCTTTGAAGCAGCTTCACCACTGGGGCGATGTTGCCCCTTCCAGCCCCTCAGCCTTGACCAGGGCTGTGCATGTGCCACAGCCTCCCTGGTGTCACATCTTGGAGCAACTGTGGGCTTTTGGTCCCTTTGCTCCCAGAAGGGCGGGAACCACCTCTGCCCATCCATCCACCCTCCTGGCAGCAGTCAGCTTCGGGTGTGTGGAGGACGTGTACCCAGGACAGAATTACAGAAGGTCCACACCCTGTTCCACGCCCAGGGAGGTGGGTGGCTCAGGGCCCACATCTGCGTAACCAAGAGGGCCACTGAGGCATCACAGGGTACAGAAGGCTGCTGCTCTAGGTTAAAAAAAAAACCATAATGAACCATGGAATCTCAGTATGCCTCATTTCAGATAAGGAAACCAGGGCCCAGAGACGACAAGCACCTTCCCCAAAGCCACACAGCACGGGTTTGACCCTCCCTTCTTTTCCCTTCCACCTCTGTTCATCTTCATGTGGGTGGTGCCAAGGGTGTTGCTGGTGGGGGGCCCCGCTCTGAGCCCCGGGGCCTGACCAGGACCATCCCTCTGTTTCCTCTTTGTGGACCGCAGGTGAGATCGCCGGAGCGGGGGCGGCCAGCCTCATGTCCGCCCTGGCTGACAAGGCCATAGTGAAGAAGGAGCTGCTTTATGACGTGGCCGGGAGAGACAAGTACCACGTCCACAACAAACATGACGACAAGTACGCGCCGCTGCCTCCCAACAAAATCGTGCAGCGGGCGGAGGCGCTGGTGGGGCAGGAGGTGCTGTACAAGCTGACCAGCGACAACTGTGAGCACTTCGTGAACGAGCTGCGCTACGGGGTCTCCCGCAGCGACCAGGTGCGTCCCCAGCCCGGCGGTGACCGTTGGTGCTGTCAGACGAATCTGCGTGGAGTCTCCAGACCTGGCACTTGGCCTTTTCTGGGAGCCTGCAGCTCCGCGGAATGAGTAGCGGAGGGGGGACTAGGCGCCCCAATCCGCCTGACACGGCTCTTCATTTTTACGAGAAGCACTGTCCTCAGCCGGCTGCAACCCCAGGGTCGGTTCCCAGGGGGCGCAGTTTCCTTCATTCACTGAGTTTGATTTGGGTTGTGATCGGCACCTTCCTTACCATTTTGTGTGTGCGTGTGAACAATTGCAAAAGTCCTTAGATGCTTGTTAAAACAAGAGTATATGTTTTCTTTCAAAAATTTGAAGGCGTTACTTCATCGTCATCTAGTGAATGCTGCTGTTCTCGAGAAGTCTGAAATGGTTTAGATTTTTGATCCCTTGTCTATGATCTATTTTTTCTTTCCAGAAGTTTCTAGAATCTTCTCTGTGTCTTCAGCGCTCTGAAATGTCACCGTGCCACACCTGTGTGTGCCACACCCGTGTGGATCCGTGTTAGTGTACGAGCTGGGCACCCGTGACTCCTTTCAATCTGGAAACCCCATTCCTTCAGCAAAGGGACATCTGTCTCCTCTCCTCTCGTTCTGCAATTCTAGTCGCTTGGCCGTTGGGCCCTACACTTCTCCTCCAAGTTTCTCATCTTCCCTGTGCTGCTTCCCATTTATTTACTTAATTACTTTTAATGGGAAAACTAACATGTATCGATAGATTTGAGTATACTAGCAGTTTTTTAGAAAAAGTCACAGTGACAACATCAGCATAAAAAAGAGAAACTTAGGAATCATTATTGGTGATACCGCATAAGAGTTGAAGTCCTCATTCACACGTGGCTCCTGCTCCAGGTGGATTTGCACACTCCTGTGCAGCAATGAACTTCAAGTAAACTAACCACAGAAACTTTAAAGCAGTGAGACACTCTGTAAAATTAGGGTGCTACTTTAGGGAGATTTCGTAGACTTATAAAATATCCCTTAGCCAACTCACTTTTACTTGTTCTTTATTATTATTATTTTTTAAAACATTTTTTATTGATTATGCCATTACAGTTGTTCTATTCCTCCCCTCCGTTCCCCTCCACCCTGCACACCCCTCCCCTACCACTCCCCCTTTAGTTTATGACGTGTCTCAAGTTCTTTATATTCTATATTTCCCCTACTATTCTTGCCCTCCCCCCTCTATTTTGTACCTAGCGTCTATGCTACTTATTCTCTGTACCTTCTCCCCCCTTCTCCTCCTCCCACTCCCCTGTTGCTAACCCTCCATGTGATCTTCATTTCTGTGGTTCACTCCTGATCTAGCTGTCCTCTTAATTTGCTTTTGTTTTAGGTGTGGTTGTTAATAACTGTGAGTTTGCTGTCCTTTCACTGTTCATCTTTTTTATCTTCTTTTTCTTAGGTAAGTCCCTTTAACATTTCATATAATAAGGGCTTGGTGATGATGGACTCCTTGAATTTGGTCTTATCTGAAAAGCACTTTATCTGTCCTTCCATTCTTTTTTTTTTTTTTTAAAGATTTTATTTATTTATCTTTAGAGGGGAAGGGAAGGAGAGAGGGAGAGAAACATCAATGTATGGTTGCCTTTCATGCATCCCCTGCTGGGAACTGGCCTGCAGGGAACCGGCCTGCAACCCAGATATGTGCCCTGACTGGGAATCGAACTGTGATTGTCTGGTTCGCAGGCCCGTGCTCAATCCACTGAGCTACACCAGCCAGGGCTTGTCCTTCCATTCTAAATGAAAGCTTTGCTGGATAGAGCAATCTTGGTTGTAGGTCTTTGGTTTTCATGACTTGGAATACCTCTTTCCAGCCCCTTCTTGCCTGTAAGGTCTCTTTTGAGAAGTCAGCTGACAGCCTGATGGTCACCCTTTGTAAGGGACTGTCCCCTTATCTCTTGCTGCTTCTAGGATTCTCTCCTTCATTTGAATCTTGGCTAATGTAATGATGATGTGCCTTGGTGTGTTCCTTCTTGGGTCCAACTTCTTTGGGACTCTGAGCTTCTTGGATTTCCTGGAAGTCTATTTCCTTTGCCAGATTGGGGAAGTTCTCCTTTATTATTTATTCAAATAAGTTTTCCACTTGTGACTGTTCCTCTTCCCCTTCTGGTACCCCTATAATTCAGATGTTGGAACGTTTAAAGATGTCCTGGAGGTTCCTAAGCCTCTCCTCATTTTTTTGAATTCTTGTTTCTTCATTCTTTTCTGTTTGGTCATTTTTTACTTCCTTCTGGTCCACTCCCTTGATTTGAGTCCCAGTCTCCTTTCCATTACTATTGGTTTCCTGTGCATTTTCCTTTATTTCACTTAGTGTAGCCTTCATTTTTTCATCTAATTTGGAACCAAATTCAACCAATTCTGTGAGCATCCTGATCACCAGTGTTTTGAACTGTGCATCTGATAGGCTGTCTATCTCTTCATTGCTTAGTTGTATTTTTTCTGGAGCTTTGATCTGTTCTTTTGTTTGGGTCATTATTTTTTTGTCTTGTTGCACCTGTTACATAGTGAGGGGCGAAACCTTAGGTGTTCACCAGGGCAGGGCAACCCATGAGGCTGGGTTTTGATGCTGTATGTGGGGGAGTGGTAAGAGAGGGAGCAATGGCACTTGCTCTGCTCTCTGCCAGATTTCAGTCACTTGCCCTGCTGCCCACAAGCAAACTGGGCCCTTCTGGTGCTGATTCCCAGGTGGGTGGGCTTGTGTATGTTCCAGGACCTTGTGGGTCTCTCCAACGAACTCTCCCGTAAGGCTGGGAGTGTCTCCCCTTCATCCCCCACAGGTGTTTTCAATTGGTGGTTTGAGGCCTTATTTCTCTGTTCTGGGACCCTGGGTCATGCGGTCAATCCTACTCCCCCTTTGTTTCATTTGGTTTATCTGCACGAAAATGTGGGACCACCAGGTGCACCGGCCGCTGCCTTGCTGGCCAGCTGCAGCCTTTCGCCCCCCGTTCCACAGTCCGCCCCCATCGCTGGGTCTGCCAGCCACCCCCCTGCCACGAGTCCTCTCTGCCCCAACTTCCCAACTCCGCCCCTCCTACCGGTCTGGATGGATGTTTCTTCTTTAACTCCTTGGTTGTCAGACTTCCATACAGTTCAGTTTTCTGTCAATTCTGGTTGTTTTTTTCCAAATTGTTGTCCTTTTGGTTGTGCGAGGAGGCACAGTGTGTCTGCCCGCGCCTCCGTCTTGGCCGGAAGTCCTTCAGCTCTTCTTGCAAAAGGAAACCATACGGATTGGACATGTCACACTCTTCTGCCTTTGGCTTCTGCGCACTGCCCATCCCTCTGAAAGGCAGAAACGGCAACACAGCAGTGAAACAGCACAGACAATTCTGTTGGACCTCCTCACGGAAAATGGAACCGGAACATATTCTAAAACAAAAAGGGATGCTGTCTATACTGAATCCAAAGTTCCCTTTTTTCTTTTCTTTTATTGATTCTAGAGAGAAGGGAAGGGAGGGAGGAAGAGAGGGAGAGAAACATCAATGTGAGAGAGAAACATCAATTGGTTGCCTCTTGCACACTCCCTGACTGGGAATCAAACCCCAGGACCTTTTGGTCTGCAGGATGACGCCCAACCAACTGAGCCAGGGCCTAAGATTTCCTCTTTCCTTTCTTGGCCTAGGATGAGGGTTTCTCAACCTCAACTCTACCAACATTTTGGTCTTGGGCAATGGAGGTAATTCTTCATTCATTGTCATAACTTGCCCTGTGAGTTGCAAAATGGTTAGCAGCATCTGTGGCCTCTGCCCACTAGGTGGCAGTAGCACTCCCCAGACCCAGGTATCCAGGTATAAGAACTAAAATATCTGCAGATATCGACAAATCCCCCCTTTCCCGCCCCCACCACTGTCCTGGGTTGAGAACTGCTGGCCTTGGAGAGTAATGGTCAGCGTCCACAGCGTAGACAAACAACCTCACACGTCTCCCTTGGCAGGAGAGACAGTGGATTTGGTAGCAGTTGGAAGCATCCAGCAGCAATTTTCTCCGTAAATGCTGTCTGAGGGCCACTTCTCCTTGTCATTCGGCTCACGAGGACACGTTCGCTTGTCTTTAATAATCTGATTGGTCACCATGTATATGTGGGTTGTGCTCACTGATGCGGCTTAGGTTTTCATTCAACAGAATATTTATGACTATTTAGTTTGCCAGTTAGAAAAGGAAGCAGTGGGTTTAGATCAAATGTAGTTTGTGCTTTACATGCCTAAGAGTTTCTAAAAAATAGATTCCCTGACTTTCCACCTACCTGAAAATACTCGGGTTTCAAACAAGGTATGCTTAGTAGGCTTGTGTAAATAAGCCTTCAGACTGAATAGCACCTTTTATTGACGGTTGATTGATTTTTGTTTCTTAAATGTGAAATCATTTTTTATTTTTCAATTACTGTTGATGTATAATATTATATTAGTTTCATATGTACCCCCCAGTGATTAGACATTATATAACTTAGTAAGTGAGCATCCCAGTACATCTAGTACCCATCTGACACCATACAGAATTATTAGAACATTACTGACTGTATTCCCTATGCTGTACTTTTCATCCCTGTGGCTGTTCTGCAACAACCAATTTGTACTTCTTAACCCCTCACCTTTTTTACCCATTTCTGCAACCCCCCCCCCCCATCTAGCAACTGTTAAAATATTCTCTGTATCTATGGGTCTGTTCCTGTCCTGCTTTTTTGTTTATTTTGTTTCTAAGATTCATTTGTCGGTAGATATGTATTTATGGCCATTTTATTGTTCATACTTTTGATTTTCTTCTTCTTCTTCTTCATTGTGTTTTTAAAGAAGACCCTTAACATTTCGTGTAATACTGGTTTGCTGGTGATGAACTCCGCTAGCTCATTCTTGTCTGGGATGCTCTTCATGTGTCCTTTGATTCTAAACGAGAGCTTTGCCTGGGAGAGGAGTCTTGGTTGTACGTCCCTGCTTTTCATCACTTGGAGCATTTCTTGCCAATCCC